GGCTGAGGACGTGGCCTCTATCTCCTGGCAGAGGGCCATTGTCAGGGTTGGGGGGGCACTGAGGGACACGGAGAAGCTGCCTGACATTTTTCAGAAGCTGAGGTCAGTCCCACGAGTACGGCTCGACGCGGGCCACCCATCCATCTTGGCCAGGGCGTTCCTGTGTCTGTTGTCCAAGGGACCGGCTGTGAGCAAAGGCCCTCGCAGGGAGACGCCGCTGCCCTGAGACTCTGAGGGGACAGCCCCTGGGGCTGCCTTGCCTCCTCTTTCCCGGGGGTCCTGCGTTCCCGATGACCCCTCCACACGCACACGCTGGGCAGGCTGTGTTTCCCTGCATAGGAGAAACGGCGGGCGGAGCGGGCAGAGCAGCAGCGCATCCGGACTGAGCGGGAGAGGGAGCGTCAGACCCGCCTGGCTGTGAGTGACCCGCCCAGGCCCCTCGCTATCCATAGGCCAGCACTCAGTCCTGAGCGCTGGGCATTGTTTGGGCTCCAGTGATTCCCAGCGAACAGGACAAAATGCACTTAACGTCCTCATCCCTCCCCAGTGCAGGCCCCTGGGAGTTGAGGCACCGTGGCCCCCTTCCTGCGCTGCTGCCCAGGACCTTCCACAACCACGGGGCCCCCCAGAGTCCCCGGCCTGAGGGGTGGTGGGGCCTCACACTTGGGAATCAGGACCCCGTTCGTCACCGCTCAGCAACCTCCAGCCAGGCCCTGTGCCAGAGACGCCCTAGAGACACCCCACTCAGCCACGAAGACCCCAGCGCCAGCCCAGGGTTGGGGTTTCGGCCCCTGCCCCTAATCTGCTCTCTGCTCCGCTGGGACCCAGGAGGAGAGGGCCCGCCGGGAGGAGGAGGAGAGCAGGAGGAGGGCTGAGGACGAGGCCCGGAAGAAGAAGGCTCTGTCCAACATGATGCACTTCGGAGGCTACATCCAGAAGGTGGGGGGCTCTCTGGGGCAGCGGTGTTGCGAGGGGCGGTGTCCCCTGCAGCAGACGGAGGGCAGGCGGGACCCTGGGAGAAACTCCCAGTGCTGCTGGGAGGCTGAGTGCTCATGCCCAGGCCCTGAGCTTCTCTCCACCCAGCTGGCTTTCCCTGGGAGGCACCTGTGGGGTGGGGGCTGCCCCTCCCACCCCTGGCCCCACGGTGGCCGGATGCAGCTGGCAGGCCCTGTGCTCATCAGACCCACCACAGACAGCCCTGTGTGGTCTGGGACCCTGGAGCTCACTTTCCTTATCTATAAAATGGGATTAATACTGCTGGCCCTTCCTGCTACCCTGGAGAGCCTCTGAGCCCTGTAGACGTGGGCTGGTTTACCCCTGGGAGCTCACTCCCAGGTCCTAGTGTGGGTGCCCCGCACCCAAGATCCTCCATCCTCAGGGGGAGGGGAAACGGGAAATCGATTTCTTCAATGCAGTGGACTCATCAGAACGTTTTCCTAGACTTCTAAGCCCCTGGTCAGGACCGGGCCAGCCCCCTGGCTTTTGCACTCAGGTGACCATACCAGCAGGACGCTGCAGTCAGAATAGCCCCCACCCTAACCCTAACCCAGACGCCTGTCCAGTAACGGGGTTGCCACATCGCGTGTCTGAACCACCCTCTCCCTCCCGTGTCTGCCTCTGTCCCCGCGCCCTGCCCCCTTTCTCTGTCGCGGTTCCGTCTTTCTCTCTGGTCTTCCTCTCGTGGTGTCCTGATTCTGCAGGCTGAGGTGGGTACAATCCTTGCACCATCCTCCACCTTGCAGTTTGGGGAGCGCTGGAAGGGGAAGGCACTGAGCTGGAGGGGGATGTGGGGGAGTGGGACGCAGGGAGCGGGGGCTGTAGGGAGCCTCCCGCCAACCCCCCTCCGCGCTGCCTGGGCATCCAGGCCGTTGATGGCGTGGGTGTTGCAGGAGGAAGAGGACGGAAGCTGGCCCCATGCAGGCCGTGCCTCTCTCCCACACTGGGCCTGGGGGGTGAGGGGTTAGGAAGCGGCGTCCTCCAGCCCCCTCCAGCCCGTTTCCCTGCTTGTCACCCCCTCCAGACGGAGCGTAAAAGTGGGAAGAGGCAGACAGAGCGGGAAAAGAAGAAGAAGATTCTGGCCGAGAGGAGGAAGGTGCTGGCCATCGACCACCTGAACGAGGACCAGCTGAGGTGGGACCGCGGGGCTAGGGCCACACCTGGCGGGAGGGGCGGGGCCAGAGGAGGGCGCTGTCTCGCGCGCGCCACCAGGGGGCGCTACCGCCCCACGTATTCCCAGGCGGCGCGGCGGGACCAGGCGGGGCTCTGGTCCGGGAGGGCTGCTCATTCCCCACCTGCCCCCGGGGCGGGGAGGGGATCGACGTGGAGGCTCCGC